CACTGACTGCTTCTTCTACAGGAACCACTTTGTGACTCTGGTGGAGAGAAAACTCACACACAGGACACACAGCTCTGTCTTCATCCTCACAGTACCAGTAAGGGACGTCTGGATGTTTATCACACACCACCTCCTCCTCCTCTTTTTCTGTCTCAGGTGAGCTCTCACTCTGCCTCTTAGCAAATGAATCAGCAAGTTCTTTAAGAGCAAAGTTCATAGATGGTTCATCCTTTGAAGATTTTCTTTTACAAATGGGACAGTTTTTGTTTTTAGTTTGTTCCCAAAATTTCTGCAGGCAGCTTGAACAGAAGCTGTGGCCGCAGCTCAGAGACACAGGATCTCTGAAAGTCTCTGAACACACATGACAGCTCAGGAAATTTTCAAAAAGTGCGACTTTGTCCGCCATTTCGTAATTTTTTTTATGACTCACCGAAATACGACCTCTTTGCCTGATAATGCCGCCAAATTGTGCTCTTCGGTACAGAGCTCAGGTTTTAATGTGAAGGCGTCTCCAGCGTGGTCGACAATGAGTTTAAGTTTCATTTACTCTGTTATGGGTGGGGCTGATAGTAATGGACCTGCTATATTCCCAGTAGATGGCGCCATTTCTGTGTCACAGATGTTGACTACTCCACCAAACTTCCTCTGATGCTTCAGAAAAAACATTTAGCTGAACCAACATGAATATGAATATGCGTCGTTGTTTAAATTCTGGTTTGAGTTCAGGCTGCACCGACCTACCTCTGTACACCAAGGATCGAGATTCAAATATAGCGTTATTCATGTTATTCATGGCACAGCAGTTTAAAAAAGGGCAAACAATCCTATATTAATACATTAATATTTTAATATGTTACTGTAATATATATTATAATGACATAATCGTCCACAAAGAACAACTACTACACACGACCATTTAATTCTCTCGCTTTTCTGTCTCACATGATGCTTTGTCTCCCAGCAAAGAATTTCTTTCAATGTAAAGTTCCTTCCTGGAAAATCCTTTCAAGATTTCTTTTCACACATGGGACAGTTTTTTCCCCAGTTGCCAGAATTTTTTATATAATATTTATTATTCCAGTAAAACTCTTACTAAGATTCATAATATCAGGAGACATGACTGATAAACTGGTCAAACTGAAGACAACATCCAGACAATATGTAATAATTTACAGTCCCAATCGAAAGTTTAAGACCACTTGAAAAGTGGCAAAAATCTTATTTTACATGGTTGGATCTTAACAAGGCTTCAAGTAGAGCTTCAACTTACAACAAGAAGAAATGGGAGTGAGACAAAACATTCAAAAAAAACTGAAACAGGCAGTTTTACAGTTGATCCAAAGTTTAGGACCACATGCCTGTGTGAATTCATTGTCACCTGTTTTTCCACCTTGGGGCGGAGCCGTGGTGTCTACACGCATTGGCGACACCTGTGTGTGACATAAGACATAAGACCAGCGCTCACAATCACTCTTTGTGAGATCATCTGCTAATCACTTCACTGTTAGTGAAGGCTGCCACAGTCAACGTGTTTAGTTATTGTTGCGCTGACAGTGTTTCTCTTAAATGATATTTGGAAATTCATTATTAATCAAAAACACTGTCCTTTGCTTTTATTAGTACTTTTGACAGAACTAGATGAGGCTGAAAACCTGTGCAATGTTCCCATCAGACTTTGGCTTTTAGGTTTATTGTGAACTCAGACCTGATGAAATGAAAAAATGTGGAAAACCTACTTTGTCACAGCACAGATACCTGTGATGAAAATAATGAATGTAAAGTGAATTTCAAATTCATTTTGATAAAATGTTTGGTTTTAGTTTTAGTACTGACAGCTTTAATATCCTGATCTTTGCTGTATGCAGCATCTTAATAAACAACAGACTTCTCATGTATTTCCCTTTGGTTTGTGTTACTAATTTCTTTCCCAGTTGTATAAATTGGATGATTTTCTATGTGCTCCCCTCATTACCTTTTTTTAAAAGTGAATTTAACATACCGTACAGTAACTTCTCACTGTATTTATTGCCTGGTAATATATGATCCAATATAGACATTCTTTGCTTTTTAAAAACCAACCAAAAGTTTTAAGGCCTAAGTGCTTCCAAGCTTCTCATATGCAGTGCATGTATGGATAAAAAGCTACTTCTAAACAAAAAATAACTTAAAATACATTTTACCAAGAAACAAGAAATGAAAAAACTCTAAATGTTAGCAAACCGATGGTGAATTTACCCCTAAAACAATCTGTAAGGGAAGTGTTAGCTTTGCTTTACCTGGTGGATATAAACACAGAGAAATGATGTCCACACAAATTCAGATGAGTTTTTGCTAATTAAATATAATACAAGTAAGAAATGAGAGTTAGCAAATCAGCCTTGATATTGTTTAGGTGGTCAGACTGCTTTATATGCGTGCACAAGCTTGTTCTTGTTCCACAGCAGTAAAGCACCATTCTTCATCCGTCTTTCTCCAGTGTTGTCACCACTTGCTTCTTATATTTGAAATATCCTTTTCAATCGACTCGCTACTTATCTCTTTGTTTGATTAACAGTGTTTGTGTTTTTATGGTCTGGAGCTCCATTCAGCAAAGTTGAGAGTACTCAAATTAGCTTCCCTGGAGGAAAACTGACACCACATCTTCTTAACATCCCGGGGTGCAAGTTGATTCATTAACAATTTAAAAACTGTAACACTCACTATGAAGAGCCTTTAATACTGATAGATATCTAATACTATTGTGGTTGCTTTACCAAAATATAACCCGGCCTGAGTGAACAATCACCACATAAATTATGCTATAAATCAAGTGTTTAAACCATGAAGTCACTGATTCATTAAATGAATATTCATGTACAAATGCAAGAGAAATAAGGCAGGGTAAGTCTTCCACAAAAATTTGTGTTTGTAAAATAAAGTATTTTACTTGAAATACACAAGTACATAAAAGAGAATTTACAAAGCAAAATGTTCACAAAAACATAACAAAATATGCATAAATAATATAGAAAAAGGACAAGAAGAGGTGAGGTCATTTCAAAAGTGCCTTCAGATTCCTCAGTTAAGCCAGCTTCACCAGTCTCTCACTGGCCTCCCACAGCTTTTTGGCCACACCTGCATCTTTTGCAAAAGGACGGAGCACTGCAGGTCGGCAGTCGACGAAGTACCCCCCGCTGCGTTTGGCAGCTTCATCTGACACGGCACAGTAGATGACAGTCTGAGCTCCAATCTCACACGGCACAAAAAACATCCACATGATCACCTGCATCAGCATCCGGAACAGGAAAGAGTAGTGGCATGTCCAGCTGCTTTGCACAAAACCTGGAGTAACATAAAAATCCAAGATATGAGGATAATTATTAACTTTTTAGGTCTTTAAATAGTTGAATGACACAAGTTTGTATTTTTGCCTCTGTACATCACTACAATGGATCAAACAGTCAAGATGTGGTGGAAGATTTTGGTACTGTTAATTTCAGCTGTCATGCATGGTACCATTTTTTTTCCTCATCCAGGTAATTAAATAAAACGAAAAATCATAATCTCCTATACTGCCATTCTCTCTAATTGGTTTCGTGAGGAAAGGTGGATCTGACTGAAAAACCATGGATTATGCTCATGTGAAACGTGATTCATTAATAACACGGCAGACCCAAACAGTTATCCGAAAGCAAACCCTGCTTTATTGCCTTCTCTGACTCTAAAGACACCATAATTTAAAAAAAAATCAACTGCATGTTTCATTCAGTAAGTTGTGAAACTTGCACTTGAAACCTCAACAGGTTGTTCAAGTCATAGATCAAGAAAGGTGAAAAGTTTTTTCTCAAAGACTAAGCACTTCTTTTTGCAACCAGGAGTCGCCCCCTGCTGGCTATGAGAAACAATGCAGATTTAACCACATTCAACATTGGTCTCACTTTTCAAAACCAGAAGAGACTTCCCAAATATTGTATAAAAAGGAAGGGGAGAGGGGTTTTTTTGTTTTGTTTTTTTTTACAGTAAAACTGCAAGCTCTGTTAGGAAAATGTACCTCTTGAAGGATAAAGATGGAAGGGTAAAACAAAATCTCTTTATAATTTTTAACCATTCTACCTCAAGGCAAATTATAGAAAGAAGACATAATAAAAACTGATTTAAGAGAACTGTTGATAAAAGGTTTTTACCAGGGTGCACAGCATATGAAGTCACTCCTTTCCCGTCAGCGATGCGAGCCAGTTCCTGACTGAAGTAGATATTCGCCAGCTTGCTGCGGCAGTAGGTGAAAAAGGGAAGCAAGTTGTAATTGAGGTCCTGGAAGTCCAATTTCTGGTATTTGTAAGTGGAGCATGTGAGGGTCACCACCCGGCTGGGGGCACACTCCTTCAGGCGAGGAAGAAGCAGGTTGGTTAGAAGGAAGTGCCCCAAGTGGTTGACGCCAAAACACATGCTGAAGCCATCATCCGTCCAGTCAAGGATGCTGGGCATGCCTGCACAAAGAGAAAGAAAGAGATCAAAAAAACAATGAGATGGTGAGGCAGGAAACAGGTGACTA